ATATACCTCACGAAACTCAAGAAATACAATAGGAGGGAGAGAGAGAGAAATTTCGAGCTCTAAGGAGTCTTGGACGAGATTTTGTGGCCCTGAGAACTGTGCCCGAGTCTATTATTTATAGACATCAAAAAGTTGCCAAAATAGCCCGTTCCAGATTCAAAACAGCCCGTTCCAGATTCATAACAGCCCGTTCTGGATCTTTACGTTATGTGTTAATTTCGTATCTTGGAACGACCCGTTCTGAAACTAGAGCGCCCCGTTCCAGGGTTGAGTTTAACACATAACTGCCTATGCTGGAATGACCCGTTCCAAACTAGGGTTTTAGGCCTTTTTTGTAACTTGGAACGGCTCGTTCCAGTTTGGGAACAACCCGTTTCAATTCAGGAACGGCCTGTTCCAACTTGAGAACGACCGTTCTGGTTTTGGAACATCCCGTTCCGGACTACTAAAACATGCTTATTTGGGCTTTAGGCCTGATATGAACTTTCAATCTAACAGTTGGATTTACAAAATTCACATTTAATATAAAGTTATTGAATAGTGTAATACTTAGTAAAAGTTACAACAGTGTAATTATAACGCCCCTCATTTATAAAACTAAGCATGAAAAATATCACTATAGGACCAAAACATCTCAACAATGTTGACACTTCAAAGCCTACCATTCATTTGCAACACCCCAAATATATTAAAAAGAAGAAAGAAAAACAAAGAGATTGAGGGACTAGACCAAAATCCAAGAAAATAAAATATTTCAATTACATAAATTAAAATAAAAGATAATAAAATACAATACTTAACTATTATGAGTTCAAATAAAGTCTAAATAAAATCAAATTCATACAAATTCAAATAAATTGAATATTAACAAATACAAATACTATAATTTTCGTACCCTTCTCGTTAATATGCAAATACAGTATCCACTACCTATGAATATTCATTTACAATATCTATTTTTTATCCAATGTAAATTTTATCCATAAATAGCTACGGATAATTTTTTTTTTTGACATCCCCACTTATAGAAGGTGTCATACAGAAACCAAGTGGGTAGATTGAGCACGACACAAAAGCTAACTTGTACATGTCATACATATATAGTTGAGAAGTCATGTGCCTACAGTAAGGGATCTAGGGATCGTACTTAAGAGATCATGAAAGCATGTGCTATGCATCAAATTTTCTTACCTATTTGAGAATGTTCCTCCAAGTTTCTTTTAAAAGGAAATTTTATAAATGCGATTTTCTTTATTATAAAATTTTTTAAAAACAAGATATTACTTAGTCGATTCTTCTGAGACTATTATTTATTTAAAGAATTGTTTTTTCTTATGTTTTTAATATACATGAATTAAGAGATCGAACTTATAACTAACCCCATACTTAAAAATAAGATTTTTTATCACACTATTGGTAATTATTATCAGACAATGATTACGATGTTAAAAGAAAATTATCCATTATTTTAATTGGGAACGTTTAATAGAATAGAATTTAACACCTAATACTGAGCCCAAATAAAAGAACAATGAGCAACTTGATTTTACCAATAATTTCATACACATAGGTTGATGATTGATTGGCATCGATTTTAGTTGTTGGGGTTGAACGAACAATCTGTAACTGCCATTCTATGAGTACCCACAACTATAAGTCCTTTCTACTTTGAAATCTTTAACTGCCATTCCATTAGACACTCCCATTTTTGAATAAATAGCAAGTTATTTGTGACCCTTCTTGCATTGTAGTTACCTAACTTCAAGCCTCTTTGGTTTGGTCATAACTATGTGTTTGTGTGTGAGGGATTCAGAACTAGAAATGTGAAGTCCCCTTTGTAATGTTTCTTGCTCAAATGAGTATTCCAACCACAATCAGCATTTGGCATGCACATCATTACCATGTGCACATCACTATGATCAGAAGTTGAGATGCTCATTTGAGCAAGCAATGTTAAAAAGTGGGAGGTGACCATTTTTTGGCTCAATTATTGATATTGTGTATTGTATTTCTTTTATACATTTATTTTTTTTCTTATTCGTTGATACATTGTGGTTTGTTCAAATTGTTTGTAATGTTTTCTTTTAAATTATAATTATTTTTTTATCACATTGACTCTTATAAAGATAAAGTGATACTTTCAATTGCCAATTCATATCTAGAATAAAAATCAAGCATCAATCCTTAATTAAAAAATTTAAATAACAAATCACTTAAATTAACGGCTTTTGATTTGTTTATCGCTTGATTAATTCATTTATTTATGAAATGCGTCATCCGAAAAATTTATTTCTAAGGGGAATTTCATAAATTTTCCTCCCCGAATAATCACCTGATCTATAACCAGAATTTACATTAAAAAATTTAATGAAGAACTTTTTGCAGGTAACAAGAGAGAGGCAAGAGAAGATCTGATTCATTTCATGTCTTTGTGGAAAGCAAATTGAAAGAGCATAATGAAGCCACTTCCCACTTGGAATCATTCACTATTGCTTCGATTGGTATTGTCGAAATAAGAGTAAAATAAGGGGGGAAAAAAGCAATGAAATAGCTGAGAAATAAAAATTACCATTCGTTTCGTATAAAAGAAATGTGTCAACGTCACACCTTTTTATTTTTTATTTTTTCCTAATCAGTGTGGAAATAAGAAGAGTATGCTCAAATTCCATTTTGTATTTGATTAATTATTACCCTCATTTGAATAAATTAGTTTTTCTGTTCTGAAATTATAAGAAAGTTTTTATTTATTTGAATACATTAGTTTTAATCGATTAAGTTTTACTTTAAAGTTCCTGTCTCTTTAAAATTCGAATACATTAAACGTTCAAACTTTTATACTAATATCTTTTTGTTAAAAATTTTATATTGATGTGTATTCGAATAATCATTATTTTATTTGATTGTCATTTTATGTATTCGAATGCGTAAATAATATATTCGATTATTAAAATAGAAATTGTTTCATTCAAAGAGTTATATATATATTTTTTATTTAAATGATTAAAATAAAAAATTAATTAATAAAAATTATTTTTAAAAATATTTATTAATTTATTTATTTCTCTCTTCTCTTTTTTTATATATTTTATTTTTCACTTATTTCTTTTCATCTTACTAAACATATATATTATTATTTTTCAAAATATTTTTCCTTAATCAAACAATTAACTTTTTTTTACCTATTTTAACTCACCTATTTCGTTATTCTCTTTATCTCTCTATTCTATTTTTCTTAAAATTTTTCCTCTCTATCAATCATAACCTCAACGCCAGCAGGTAACCACAATATTAAATAGGTTAGTACACTTTCTCTGCTCAAACTTTGTGTTGGTCATTAAATTTTAGACTTGTATTTTTACATTTGCATTATCTTTCATCTTTCATATTCTATTTTCTTCTAATTTTTCTTTTCTCGTAATATACTTAATTTATTATTTTTCTGTTATCTTTTTTTTATCATTATTAGTTCTCTTTACTCCATGAAATTAACTAATTAAGACTATCAAAACAGATCATTCAGCTTATTAACTCGGCTAATCACAAGTTAGTCAGTAGATAAGTCAATTTAACTCAGCTCATCTTTTAGTGAGCCTAAAAAGAAATGGACCCAATTTGATCCACTTACATTAGTGAGTTAAACATGTAGACTCTCTTAATTTTATAAAAGAAATTAACAAAAAACCATTTTTTATAATAATGTTCAGTTCAGAACTCTAGTCCAGCCAAGCTTCCATTGACGGTAGGAGGGGCCATGCACGGTGCAGGAGGGGTTGTACGTAGAACAGTGGTGCTGGGCGGTGGCGGTCACACAATGGTGGTGCGTGTGGAACATGCATGCGGAAGGATCTGTAGTGGTGGCGGTGCGTGTGGTGTAGCATGTGAGTTCTTAGTGGCTCGGACTAAATTTTTAATAATACTAAAATTTATAATATTTTTTAGTCTAACTTAACTTGAACATGCAGGATGGGTTGGATTGGTTCACCAGTTGTGATCCATTTTGACAACTTTACACAAAATAGATCAATTGTGTATATAAGTTACGCTCCTTATCTTCTATTCTAAGTAAATAAATAATAATTTTATCCATATTAAAGAAATTAGCTCTGCATCAAATTTTATTAATTGTATAATATTCTTTTTCTTTGTTATAAATATTAAAAGAAGTAATGTATCTGAAAAGTCATGTATTAAATGAAAGATATTTTAAGAAAAGTACTATTAAATAAGACAAAAAATAGTTAAAGTATGCTTATATATTTACGAGAATTTTTTTCTTCTATTATAATAGATAACAGAAGAAGTATTTTTAGAATATGTTTGGATTTGAAGAATTTAAATAGAGTTATTTTGAAGAATATTCAATGTCTTGAGGTAAAATATCTTATTTGGATAATTTTTTTTAAAAAAAGTTTGAAATTAAAATACTACAAGAAATTCATTACATAGAGACTGATTTAGAAACTAAATTTATATAATCACTTTAACAACTTATTTAAATACTATTTTAAAGATTAATTATAGTTGGTCTCTAATTTAATTTCTATTATCATTAATATTTTTAATGTAATTAGAGACCAAACTTTTAGTAGCTAATAGTTTAAAAAATATTATTTATTTAATTAGATACAACTTTTTTAGTTTCTAATTAAAATATAATCTGAGACAAAATTTTTGGTCACTATTAAAATACTTTAGAAACCAATATTTTAGTCTTAAGATGCACTAAAATTAGAAACTAAGTTTTCTAGTTTCTAATTTAAATATTACTAGTACTAAAAAAAATAAGTGTTTAATAGTGATTATTTTTTGGGAGTTTAGAGAAACTGCCAGAAAATGATATATTTCTGACAATTATTTTAACCCCACAAAATGATTATATTCTAGCAATTTTAATTGAGATTTTATTTTTATCATCTTTGTTATTAATAGAAAAAAATGGAAAATGATAAAACCTCCGAATGAAATTCTGAAATACGTTCCGAATAATTAAAATAATAATTTAAATTAAAAAATATTAAATTAAATAATTATTTTATAATAAATTTATTAAAAAATATTACTTTTCTAATAGTCGAACGATGATTGGTATGAACGTTTCGAGTGTGTACAAAAAAAAAATATACATCTCATTTCAGTTCCACATGCGCGCTCTCACTATCTCATTCTCGCACCAACTCTTGTCCCACCCCTTTTCGTTCTCGTTGTCGTGGGTGCTAGCTTTGGAGCTTCGTCTCCGTCCTCCATCGCACCAGCTCTCATCTCTCCATCCGTCGTTCCCACTACAGTGATTCTCGCCATCCCCTTCGCACCAGGTAAGTAGTGATTGTTTAGGGTTTACGCTTTTGCTATCTAAGCTTTGGGAAAAGGTGCATATACATTCATGTATTTTGGTTGAAAAATATGTGTTAAGTCATTGTTGCTTGGTGTAGTGATGCCGACATAATTTGATTGAAGTTTGCCACATTATTTATACTTATATAGGTATTTAATATTGATTTATATTTCTTAATAGTTATTGTGTGTCAATGATGAGGTAATTTATATTTTGGTTTGTTGAAATATAAAGTAATGGCAATGTTCTGTTTAGTTTCGTTTAGTTTAAATTCTTTGCTTACGTAATATGAATAGAGTGTTCTTTAACACCTCCACACTTTGCTTGTTCATTCTGATGTCTTACTAAGTAAATGTTATTATGTTGGCCACAGTTCAAAGAGTGTGGACCTAATTTTATTATTTGTACCCTGTGATATTTTCTCACAATTTTCCCTGTTTATGGTTTTTATGGGGTTCTCTTGGCTTTTGTTCCAATTGGATTGAGTTGTATGAAATCAGTTTAGGTATTGTTATTTCCTTTTCTGGTTTTTTCTATATTCCCTTATTTATCAGTATTAACTATTTTTAAATTTTATGTGACTTCTTCTCCCTGTATTTCAGGAGTTGCTGACAGTTTGATGCTTTGATACAAAAAGTAAATGTTGAGTTCTATCTAAAGAAGGTCAAATTTTGTGTCGACTTTGCTTTGTGTTTGGATAGTTAATGCATATGTTTATTTGTTATACAGAATACAGACTTTTGAATTAAATGGATGTTTTTCCAAATTAAAAGGTGAGTTCATGCCTATAAATTGGATTTATTTACATAATTTATCGTTGAAATTAGACCATTATGAATCATTTTTGTTGAACTCTCGAGTCTATACTTGTAGATTCGTACAAGTTTACTTTTATAGGTATAGAAATTTAGTTAACTTATTTATGGATAAACTTAGGTGAACAGAGGGTATATCTGGGCACATACAACTTGTAAGTTATAACATTTGATAACACAGCAAACATTCTTTTACCTTGGTTTTGGAGCAAAATCAAATAATATATAACTCATCATGTGTTCTGTGTCTGTGTCTCTATTATGACTTGTCATGGGGTTTTACCTTGTGTCTGAATATTATCATAGCTTTATTTAATATGTTTTTGTATTAGACAAACTTTTACCTTGTAATGGGTATGCCTAGATGCCATTTTCTTTATCTCATACATTTCCTATTTCCTAAAGCTTCCTCACAAGCAAATGGCACATGGGAGAGAAGGTAGTGGAGTGCCAATTCGGAGAATATTGATTGAACCCACTGTACATTATTGATTGGTTCAGCCATTGTTCAGTCCTCGTCTTTCCAACATATTCTTACTTGGAACCAAGGTGTGAATTTTGGATCATCATCTTCTGTGCAATGAGTTTATTTGAGAAATCATATATGTTGTCTACAGGTTTCAGGAGAACATGATACTGGGTCAAAGTCCTTAGGAAGGTGGCTTCACTTTTCATCTGCAACAAGAGCGGCATGCCTTTGAGGTGCGATCTAATGTGATATAAGAAGGATTTAGATATTTATAAAATAAAAAAAATCCATTGTCTGGGGTTTGAAGTTAGCCTTAACTATTTTATTACCGCCTACTATTAAATGTATGTAATTTTGTGAAATTTTGTGGTTCATGCTGCTATTTGACCTTAAGTAGAATTCTCTCTTTTTATCCTTCCAATTCGAGCTGGTTTGATTATGAGATTGATCAAACTTGGATTTTCAATCCGTTGGTATAAGTCCTTGCTTAAGCTATTCAAATGTAATGATTCTAACTCATTCATTATATTCGAGTTATACGACACATTACTTTTAGTTAACATTTTATCCTTAGTACACAATTTATCGCAAGTGATTTATGTTTGATATATGAACGAGATTAAGTTTGACTCTTGGCATAATCCATCTAAACTGTGGGAGATGTTGACGTGGAGCATACAGCTAGATGCTCCAATAGTATTCATGTTTGTAGTCTTTATTGGAATCGACTGTAGTATCCAATTTATACTTATTTATTTGATCAGTGAATAGTGGAAGCCCAAATTGGATTTTTGGGTTGTTTAGTTTGAGAGAAGTAGATGTGAAATTGAAAAGAAATAGTATTTTGATTTACATTGAAAGGAGGAGAGAAATGAGATTAAAAATTAGAATATTATTTTATTCATATATTACCTTTAGCCCACCCCAGTTATTAAGGCATAAAAGTCCATTCCTATAAGAAATGTAGTGCCTATGTTATCACCACTTTTTAATTTTCCAGCATTTGTGCTATTGGTAGGTAACCATCATGAATTCTTTGAACTCATGGCCGCATGGTCTTCTAGAAAGTTACTGAGAGATGTTTTACTAAAAAAGGCAGCGTCGAATCAACATCCCGGCGTCAGATGTTTTTCTTCTGCGCCGCAAAGTGCTCCTAAGATCGATTACTATTCCAAGAAAGTGCGTATACATGGGGTTTGAAATTATACATTGTGTCGTTGATTCATTTATTTTGTGGTTTAAAGATGGTCATTTCATTTAGCATGGAATGTGGTCGTCTTAATGGATTGAAAGATCTTAGTGAATATGCAATGTTTGTGTTATGTGATCATGTTTGTTACTTACTCGTGAATGTATGTTGTGATTTATTTGGTTTGTGCAGTTTACCTACATTGATTACTTTGAATTGTAGGGAAGGTTGTTGACAGTTTTATGAACTTCATGTACAAGAAGAAGAGTTCCAGGCACAAGATGAAGGACATGTTACTTTTATGATATATGTTAAGTTTTTGATTCACTCATTTTTTCACGGGTGTTTTTTTTTTCTTGAGACAGTTTTATGAACTTCATGCACTTTGTTGTTGAAAGTGTTCTAAACTTTTGTGTTTTTCATAAATTGTTCTCATCTTTGGGAGAAAGAAAGGCACCCGGTTGATTGATGTGCACCGGAAGTGTTAAAGACAATTTGTTGCTATATTAAAACTAAGTATTATCAAATGAAATTTTATAGAAAGTGATTGTTTGAGTATTATAAATACAAAGAGTGAAGATTGTATGTTTGGAGGATATTATGTGTAATTTTAAAAAATTAGAAAATTTAATTACTTAATTTTCATGTTATTATATAGCGAATGTTGACTTTTTGCATAATAGTTTAAGATGGAATAAATATGTGAAGTAAATAAATAATTAATATTATAAAATAATTATTATGTTTTAGTAGAAAAATAATTGAATTTTGGTATGGGTGAGTCATTGAAAAATGGGTCACTAATTCAATTATTTTAAAATTTGGTCACTAAAATGGTTACTTTAGAATTGGTTATTATAACAGTCACTAAGTTGATTATTACAAAATTAGTTGCGAAGTTAGTCATTATAAAATAGGTTACTAAATTAGTTGTTATCAAAATTGGTATCTAAATTGGTTACTGTAATATTGGTAATTAAAACAGTTACTATAAAATTGGTCAATGAAATGGTTATTAAAAATTGGTCAATAAATTGGTCATTGTAAAATAAGTAACTAAGTTGGTCATTATAAAATTAGTTGCAAAATCGGTCATAAAAAATTGGTCATTAAATTAGTTTTTAAATCAGACTTTAGATTGGTAGCTAAAATTAGCAACCAGTGATTTAGCTACTTTCTACAATTGGTATCTAATTCAGTCACTTATGTGTTTAGTAACTGATTTTATTAATTTGGAGACTAAAAATTTGGTCTCTAAAGACAAGTTTTCTTGTAGTGAAACATTTGTGAAATTTCTTAAAAATAGTAAAATTTCAAATTCTTTCAAAAAAGTAAAAATTTGAAATTTTTCATATTTTTTCTTTCTTATCTCACTTATATATATTTTATCTCTTTGATATCTCTTCTATTTCCTTTTGATTCTCTCTCTTTCATTTCTCATACTCTATTTTCACTTTCCATTTGCTCTCTTTCTTTCTCTTTTTTTTTTCTTTCCCAATTTTTTTCTTAATTATTAAATATTCAAAAATATTTTGTAATTATTAAATATTATCTGATATTAATTTTTAAAATTATTAAATATTAAAAAAATTTACTAATATTTATTTTTATAAAATTTCATCTTAAATATGAATATATATATATATATATATATATAATCAATTTTAATCATGGTGAAAATCAAATTATTATATCCAAACCAAGAGTTTAAAATTAAAAAAAAATTGAATTGACTTATCTAAAAAATATATTAAAAAAATAATAGAAATTAAAATTAAAGTAATTTAAATTTTAAGAATTTCATATTTCTTGAATTAACCTCTATATATTAAACACCAATCTCTATCTTTCACTAGTGTTTTTAGATGTTTTTCTTCAACAAGAGAATTTATAAAAACCTTTTTAATTTCTTATCTAATTTAATTTTTATTTACCATAATTATTTATTAATGAAATATTAATATTTTAAAATATATCATCAATAAATAAAAAAATAAACTACAAACTGTTTACCATAAATCCAAAATATAATATATACATTTAAAAATATTTATATATATTTAAACATAATACTTTATATATATAATTTATTATAATTTTTAGCTATATTATATATAATAAATATGTATGTGCATTGCCAAACTAGAATACTAATTTCTAAAATTTTCATCCATATACTCTATATAATCTAAAATTTCTAAAATCTATAGATTAGGAAAAATGCTAGATTTTATAATGCGTCTAACTGGATGCAAGTAAGAATAATAAGGATCAATAATATGATAGAATTTCCAATCTTGAGTTATTTCGTTTAATAATACCTAGACGTTTGTCTTTCTAGTTAGATGCAAGACCATGCCTTGATCAGACTATAGTTTCTTGATCGAGATGCAAGACCATGCAACCTCTAGTTTTATGAAAAAATAAACACATTATAATTAACTGAATGTAAAGAATGATGATAATTAAACGAATGTAAAGAACTTTAAGACAATACTACTATTAAGCTAAGAAGCAAATAAAGAAAAGTTGTCTGTGGTAGTAGTCAACAAGTATCCTTTTTTATGCTTCAGTCAACAAGTATCTAAGTATAAACAGATATACATAGGGGTACATGAAGGTTATGAAATTTAAATAAATTTGTTACTCAATTTAATCAAAATTTAACATATTAAATTAGATTGAATTTATGTATTTTTTTAAAATTCATTCTAATCTGATCATAAATAAATTAAATTAGATATGGTCAATCAAGTCTAATATAATTATATTTATTTATTTTTTATAAAAAATTTAATATATTTTATAATAAATATAAATTATATATTTTATTATAAATATAATATTATCAACTCGAGTAAATAATGATACAAATTAAATTTTAAAATATTTTATTTATTTATTACATTGTCGATTAAAATGACTCACATTTATAAAAAAAATTAAAATAAATATATTATATTATTATAATATTATCCAACTAAAAACAAATTTACATTGTTCCTACTTCCTATTCCTAATGGTAAAAGGGCCAAAACTTGCCGTGTAAGGTTGCTTAAACTTATCACTCAATGGCGGTAACCGTGATCAAATTATATAACTTTAAAATGCAGAAAAGTGTAAATGTTTATGTTTATTTTATGAATATTTGTGCAGGTTTAAGGAAGCCAATTTTCTATAGATTAATTTTTGATAAATTATAATGATATATACTAAAAACAACTAACAATATAGATGTAACACAGTGCAACATACAAAGATTATTGACTGGTATATTAAGAAAAGTTATATTCTCATTGTTGGTTAAGAAAAGCATCTGAGTTGTTCATAATTTCACATGGAGAGATTTCGAAAGACAAAATCTATATAAATATAGAATCTTGCATACACTACACCAAAACTAGTTTTTTGTGGCAATTAACTTATTATTTAGCGGCCATATAAATGGCCATAATTTTTTTACCAGCATTTAATTAATGGTTGGTGTATCCAGTGTCGCTAATACTATTACCGACATTTATATAAAATGCCGGTAAAGATCTACTAAATTTTCGGAAAAACTTATTTTTTTTTAGTGGCAATTCTAGTAGCCATTTTAAAGGCTATTAAAAGTTATTTTTTTCAATTGTCTCATTTACTTTAAATAATTTATTCCTATAATTTCATTTTCTAAATTCATAACTTATATACTTTTTTATCTCTACTCGATATGAGATTTGTAAGATGAGAGTTGTCTTTTATTTATATATTTTTTAATTTATTTTTTAATTATGTTGTCTTTTAAGACATGTGAGATTTATAAGGTCAAAGTTGGTCTCTAATTGTTTTATAGCACTATTGAAGTTGGTAACAATGAGTGATTTGATACCAATTTAGAATAGTGAATTAGGAGTCAACCCTATAAAATGAACCTGTAAGGTGATAGTTATTACTCACTTATATACTATTTAATTATCTTATCTCTAATCAATGTGGGACTTAAGTTTTTTCTAAATAATTGTCGCTAATAGTAAACTTTAGTGTAATATAAATATATTTTTAGTGGCTATTATATATTAGCCATTAATATTTTTACATATGGTGGCAATTAAATTATTGCCATTAAATAATTGTCATTAAAAATAAATTTTGTTGTAGTGATATTATGTACTTACATGATTCAACCTGAAGAACAAACTCAAAAGGATACCGAACATGAGCATTAAGAAATGACTGAAATCCATTGCATATTTAAGATGTAGTGTCGACTTTTTTGACATTAAATTTAAATTAAGTTTAGTGTCGGAAAAGTAGACGTTATTATTTAAATATAGCGTCAACTTTTCTGACACTAAACTTAAAATATTTATTTTAAGTTTAGCATCGAAAAAGTCAACGTTATTCTTTAAATATAGCGTCGGCTTTTTCGACACTAGTTTAATTTAAATTTAAATTAAATTAGTGTCAGAAAAGCCGACGTTATATTTAAAGAATAACGTCGACTTTTTCGACACTAAATTTAAATTTAGTGTCAAAAAAGCTAACGCTACATCTTAAAATAGTGTCGAATTTTTTGACAGTATATGTGCTTTGAGAGAGATAAAACTTTTTTAATATTATATACACATAATGTGTTCTGGTGCACTTGGTTATCAAGTTTACTTAAGAAGACCTCAAGGTTCACAGATTGAGTCCCAGGAATGTTAAAAATACGAATGAATGTTAAAAATATGAACAAATAAATGATAAGCTGGAAAAAGAAGATAAAGAACAAAATAAAATAAATTTTGTGTCGCGTAGTGTCGACTTAACCGACAATAAAAAATTAAAATAAATAAATTAGTTAGTGACGACTTAGCCAACACAAAAAAAATTGTGTCGACTTATTTAGTGTCAGCCAAAAATTGACGAATAGTTGACAATATTACGTCAGTTTTTATGATTTAGAGTCGGCTTTTGGCTGACTCTAAACCGCAACATTCTTGTAGTGATTGTAAGGACTGTGGTTCAATTCTAGTATTATAATTTATTGGCACTCTCTTATCTTTAAAAAGACCCAACTTTAAAACTCTTTTTAGGCCTCAAAATATGTTGGACCGGCCTTGTGTTTGTCTCAAGGTACCTTCTAGTCTTTCTCTTTAATATCTTCTCTACACTTCATTTTTCGAACCAATTGCCTTACTATGTCAAGGGAGATGTACTAGTAAAAGTCACTCCGATACTCAAGTAAGTAACTCACTAGGTATAATAAATATGAATATATTGTGAATAATAACTTTATTTATATATATGATACTATTTATTCTAACCATGTTAGGTTAAGGTTCCAATGGGTCGTAGTCTAGAGTTACTAATTAGGTAATACGTTTGTAATTCACACTTTACTGTAATTAGGCTAAATCATCTTAATTACCTTTACAAATAATGACATTCATTCATCTTATTTGACAACACAAGAAATCAATGTCCAAGGATGTCGAACAGGTATACTCAAGCCTTCAAGGCGCATCAACATCCAAAAATGTCAAACAAGTACACTTAAGTCTATGAGGGCATGTATAGGCATCCAAGGATGCCGAACAAGTATCCTTGAGTCCTTAAGGGTGTAT